GTAATTTCCCTGGATTATTCTTTACGATTTTTTTATTTGGATATAAATTCTTGTACGTACCGAGAAAAATGACACATTTTTACAGTGTACGAACAAAATATTTGATTGATTACGTTGTACGTCTAGCCTGTGATTACAGAATTACGAAATTTATTTTTTCAATTTACGTTGTACGAACAAAAAAATAATGCAATTACGTTGAACGAAAATAATCCTTTGCCCCCCCCTCTAAACTCTGAATTTGATCATACATTGTACATGTTTGAATCACTGATTACTATCACATGGTGGTCATAAGTTGGTCACATTTGCCCACCTGTCTACCTGTTATTTTGAACAGGAACAACATTGACAGGCTAAATTTCTACAAATCTATCAACTTTTAATTGCCAATTTCTCTGTTTTCATTGCCATAGATGTAAATAATCACCAAATAAAAAAGACTACAAATCTGTGACTGAAAACTAGCAACTATTGTCTTGCATTTCAGTATATATTTTACACAGACATTTTTTCATTTTCTGGCTATAACATACATGTACACTTGAAGGGTTAATACTGGATGTCTATGTTTATAATCATTCACTTCAAACTATGGTACATGTGACCAAACAAAAATCCAAATTTTATCAGATATAATAATAAGTCTGTAAATAAATAAGTATATTTGCTAGAAACACATCTTTAAAAAAAGCACACATAAACCAAAAATGTAAACATTGTATGCTGGATCGTTTTAAATTTTATTTTCATTATAAACTGATGCATATATAGGAAATCTTACTTCAAGGTTATCATATGGAAATCCCATGATATCGAATCATAGTTTTAATTTACCTGCAAGATTACTGGATGTATTTGGTTATAAATTAACAATCCAAATTTAATATTGACTGGTTGGTTATCTCTCTCTCCTGATTCGCTCATTTTCTGTTTGACAGTTGAGTAGATTACATTTTAGTTCTGCCGTTAAGCTTATCATACTACAATTCTCATTGCTTTGATACTTGGTGTATATGTACCTTGGGCATACCTTTGTTCACTTCATGATGGT